TGTTTCTAATTCTGTACATTTGATTAAGTTATTGTTAATTGTTGTTGGTTTAATGTAAGTGGCTATTGTTCGGGACGAACAATACTAAGGAGGGGGTCAGTGTTGCGTCAGCGAGGTCACGTGACTAATATCACGCCACTTCCTTCTCGAACCTTCGTGAATTGTCAGGAGACTACTAGATTGGGGGTAGTCTGGTATATATATATAAGATGGTCACAACGTGACGGGATAATGTGTAATTGAATGAGTAAGAATATTGTTGAGCACGTGAGACGTTTGTGGTGAATTATAGCGTTTGTTATAGCGCGACTGTTGAAATTAAGTGTATCGGAAAGTTGTATTCAGAAAGAATAAACCAGTTATATTTAAGAAAGGACTTGTGTCGCTAAAGTTTCGTCGGAACAAATTTACGGAAAATTAACTAACGAACGGAGATGTAACAAGGGCTTTATGTATCAAAGACTTTCACAGGTTGAAACCTCGTAGTTGATTAATTTGTGAATTGTTCAAGTAGTGTGTTTGTCTCAAGTAGAAACACCCGAGTCTATATGAGGAGAATGAATCTTTTGTTTGGGTAGGATATTCTGTCATGTGTGTGTGTGGGGGGGGGGGGTGCACAATGGGGAAGAATCAGTTCCTGCACATAAATGAACTCTCCACAATTAGTAACATTCACCCTATTTCGATCTCACTGTCTCTCTCGCTCCACAGATGTCGTATAATATTTCTAAGTTACTCTTATCGGCATCGACCTTGCCTGTGTCAGCTTCAGTCTATTATTATTTTTTTGGGTGGTGGGGGAAGGGTTGGATGATTTATTACACTATCCCCATACAAATTGTTGGGTCATCATATTGTTGCGTCAGCAAAGTCACGTGACTAGTATCACGCCCCTCCTTCTAGAAATATCCTGTTCCTTCATGAATGCCGTAGTGTTTACTAGATATGTGTTAGTCTTGATATATAAGACGGTCACAACGTGACGGGACAATGTGTAATTGAACTGCGGAGAGAGAACATTGTTGAGCACGTGAGACGTTCGTTGAGAATTATAGCGTTTGTTATAGCGCGACTGTTGAAATTAAGTGTATCGCCAAGTTATATTCAGAAAGAATAAACCAGTTTTATTTAAGAATAGACTTGTGTCGCTAAAGTTTCGTCGGAACTAATTTAACGGAAAATTAATTAAAGACCAGAGACGTAACAATATTATTGTGACCATGTAATTTACTTGTTGATTTTAAGTGCACCTTAGAATACTACAATAGCTGACCACATTTAGTATTAATTTCAATAAAATCTACCAATATTTAATTTTTTATGGTATTGAAACTATTCTTGATGAAGCGTGGTTCGTCAGGTTATCAAGTTTACCATCGTACTTGTTAGTTACATTATTCCGTTAGTCCGATGTAGTTGTAATTATGGCAGTCGTTCAAATTATTTACGAAAGAGTTACACGTTTGTCTAACTACATAACATTAATATATTAGCACTAAGGTAACAACTATTTAAACACCCCGCAACACTTGAATAAACGGTGAAGAATATGTAAAATGAAAGTAGGCCTTCCCGACCAAATGGAGTGGAAACTATGTGAGGAAAAAACTATGGTAGGTGAATTTTTATTATTAATAAGTATTTTCTCTTACTTCCATTGTTGTCACACTTAGCCTCTGTTATTATTCAAAATCAGTATCTTTCTCTTACTTCCATTGTTGTCACACTTAGCTCTGTTATTATTCAAAAATCACTATGTTTCTCTTACTTCCATTGTTGTCACACTTAGCTCTGTTATTATTCAAAAATCACTATGTTTCTCTTACTTTCATTGTTGTCACACTTAGCTCTGTTATTATTCAAAATCAGTATGTTTTTCTTACATCCATTGTTGTCACACTTAGCTCTGTTATTATTCAAAATCAGTATGTTTTTCTTGCATCCATTGTTGTCACACTTAGCTCTGTTATTATTCAAAATCAATATGTTTTTCTTACATCCATTGTTGTCACACTTAGCTCTGTTATTATTCAAAATCAGTATGTTTTACTTACATCCATTGTTGTCACACTTAGCTGTGTTATTATTCACAATCAGTATGTTTTTCTTACATCCATTGTTGTCACACTTAGCTCTGTTATTATTCAAAATCATTATGTTTTTCTTACTTCCACTGTTGTCACACTTAGCTCTGTTATTATTCAAAATCAGTGTGTTTTTCTTACTTCCACTGTTGTCACATTTAGCCTACATTTTCACAATCGGTATGCTTGTCTAACTTTCTTTGGGGTCATTCAAAAACTACTTAACACCACCACGTAACACAAATCTTAGTACCCCTAATTAATTACGTAACATCTACACATCAGTCCCACTTAATTCAGACTTTTTAAGTGTGAATATCTTTAACTATGTTGATCAATAATTATATGGCTTCATTTAATAAATCGTGTAAATTCTGTACTCAATAAATTTCTAAGTAATCACATGGCCTACAACTTTTGGTTTATTTAGTTATAATTATTTTTATTGCAACCACGATGTAAAAGTTTTCCTGTATCTTAAGCAGTTTTTACATAATAGAATTTATGCTACATTTAATGGAGCATTAACAAACATGACATAAAATATGATTAAACTAGTTATTCTCCAGAAATCATACGTCTACTATGTTTCCTAATATTTCAATGTATTTTTAATTCAGATCGAACTATGCTAAATTGGAATACGATCTTTTTCTGAAGACTTTAAACAGTTTTACTATAATTTGTGTTCTGTAATTAGTACCACTTTTCACTGTTTCGTTGTTGTTTTTTACACAGCAAAGCCGCACTAGGCTTCCTCCCGAGTCCACCGCGGGTATTCGAACCCTTAATTTCACAATCTCGCAAACAAAACAAAACAAAAAAATCTTTTTGAACAAGTATTTTGTATTTTATTTATCTATCCAGCTTCCCTGTCATGTAAACACTATGTGTGCTTGCCATTTTACACTTAGCTGTTGGGACTTTCATGATGGAGGTTGGTGGGCGTCCCTTAGCACCAACCACTACTGATCTCCTTGAGGCTGACTCGTTGGTAATATTCTTCCTACACTGGCTCCTCAGATGTCCTTGCTCCCCACAGTTCCAACAGCCTTTCTGGGTAGCAGCCTTTCCTGCTGTATCATCTCCCCTGTGTTGAAGTTGCCAACATTGAGCTCTCTTGTGCCCAGGTTTGTTACAGTGCTAGCAAAGTCCCTCAAACTTCTCTGAAAGCTGACCTTTTCTGGCATTGAATCCAGATGACTGTACCAACCTCGGTACCTCTGTGCTGGACTTAACGTAGGATTCAAATTCGAGAGCTCTGGCCATTGCATCCTGCATGGTAGAGGGGTGTGCTTGTCCAAGGCATCTATGAACTGATCCCTCAGCAACAACATGAGGAGATCGGGTGGTGCTGTTAGGGAGGCCTTGTGTGCCATGCTTTCCAAGTCTTGTGCCAGCTCTTGCAGGCTC